TCGACGAGGACTCCGATACCCGTCTGGCTCGCCGCGGTACATTACTCCTCCTCATTCTTTCTTTCTTCCCTCGCTCGCTCTCTCTCTCTCTCTCTGTGATTTGTCCGCCTCTTTTCATTTGCCCCGTCACCTCTCCCCGGCCGCGTGGATCTTTCTCCGCCCTCCCCCCCCCCCCCATCTCCCTCTCTCCTTCTCACCCTTGCCTTTAGCTATTCGCGATACCACCGAGATGGCGCGTGACATGGACACCGTCCTGCGCCAGTACTTGCGCTTCGTCAAGCCCTCCTACGATGACTTCATCTTCCCCACCAAGAAGTATGCCGATCTGCTGATCCCTCGCGCGGCTCAGAACGAGGGTGCGTGCCGGTCTTTTCTTTCTGTCGCCCCCCTTCTCCTCCTCGTGCTGGGGCCATTCACAATGCGAACCATCTGCCTATCAGCCGCCGCCCACACACCCATCGTCTAACATGCCCCCCCCCCCCCCCCAACTACCATCACTACGGCCATTTAGTGGCTGTCGACTTGATTGTCCAGCACCTGAGCGAGAACATGCGCCGTCCCCGGCGTCCATCCATCTCCCACACCCCCCTCATGCAGTACCAGGAGCTCTCCAACTAGTGGCCTCCTGCCCGCCATGTATCCGGGACTCCCTGGCGCGTGTCTTGCCATGCTCCCCCCCCCCTCCCCATCACATTTGCGGCCCATGCCGGCTCGTCGGAGCAACAATCCACTGTTCTGGCATTTTGGTGCCCCCCCCCCTCCCTTCCCCTTGCACAGCCGCCCAGGCACTGAGTCCCAAAATAGAGTGTTCATCTTGTCCCTCCTCCACCTTTGTGCATACCCACACACTGGCACAAAGTGCGACAGCTGCATCTGTTCGGAAGGCGCATCGGCCATGGAGAGGCCCACGCGCCCTCCTTTTGTCGAGGAGAAGACTGGACAAGTCAGCGGCGACCATTTCCAGGGCGCCTGGCCTGGGGAGTGAATAGGAGACTCGGCGACAGGCGCCCGACCATCGGCTCGCCGAAAAGGATATCCCCCTGTGTCGGGTCCTGTTCAAGGACCAGCCGGGCCAGGTTGCGCTGCTTGCTCCACTCCGGCGTGAATGGAGGCAACAGGTCCCGGTCACGAGTGGCCCTATTCGTTGACCGTGGTGTCGAGCAGACCACCGGGGCAGGCGCCGGGGCGGAGGTCGGGACAGGGGTCGGGACAGAAGCCGCCACAGGAGCAGGAGCCACAGCGGCAACCGGCAAGGTGGCCACCTCCGGCAGGTCCAGACTTGTCGGCGTGGCCCCTGCCCCGGTGGGGGTTTCGTAGTTGGCCGCCAGCTCGCGCAGGGAGGAGGTCACGGCCGCTGCAAAGCGGATGGGCTGCTGCTCGAGCGGCGTCACCGGCCGGTGCCCGGCATCCAGGGCTCGCTGGGCCACCACGGCAGCCATCGACAGGGGGCCCGAGCCTGCCCCGGTGCCAGCCGATCGAAGCCGGCGTTCTTGAGGCACGGGCACACCGCCGGGCACGTCGGAAGCGGCTCCCTGGCCGGGGTCCCCATCGCTGGGCACCGGCTGCGACAGTGTCTCCTGCCGGGGGAGGCCCGATGGGCGGGCGCCATCCGGCTCGAAGTCCAAATGCACCGGCGCCCCGGGCCGACTGGCTGGACGCCGCTCCACGAAGAAGGGCATCCCCTCACTGGCGGTGGCCGTTGCTGCCGGCAGAGACTCCCTGTTCATCTGACGGCCGATCTTGGCCGGAGGCTCGGCCTCGCCGGGGACGATGCTGTCCACGGCGGTCAGCGGTCGCTTCAAGACCGGCGCCGGGCGATTGTCCGTCGCGTCGGCGCCCGTGGCGGCGGTGCCGACAAACGCAGACGCGCCAGATCCACCGGCCACCGAGTACTGCCGCGATGCCAGCTTGCTCATGGCTGGGAAGGTGCATGGCCAGGGCGAGGTGGGTCAGTGGTCTTTGCAAGCAGGCCGAGCGAAGGGGAGAGCCGGGCATGGCCCATGCATGCCCCCGGAGCCAAGCCCATGTAACGCACCGGCCCGGATGGTGTCAAGTCGGGACACCGTGGATGGCCGATCGGCCGATGGGGGGTCGCCGCCCCCCGCCGGCCCCGCCGGGACCAGGGAGGCCGCCGGCTGCAAGGGCCCAGCCCCGGGGCCGCCGGCGCTCGGGCAGCCGGAAAGTGTGAAATCCAACCCCTGCCCGGTGATGACCCGGCTGGCAATCGACTGGATGGAGGGGTGGGCGAAGTTGCCGACCGCGCGGTCGCCACTGCCGCGACCGGCCCCGGGAGGCTCATCGGCCGGCGGGGCCGTGACCTCGGGCGCAGTGTCCGGCCGCCCGGGCACCGGGGCCGTATGTGAAGGGAGGGAGGGGATGCTGGCGGCCAGCGAGCCGAGCGGCGCCAGTGGGACCACCAGCGCCGGCGCCGCGGCCTGGCTGGCAGAGGGGACCATCACACGTGGGAGACGGGGGGCCGCAGCAATGCCAGCCGGTGGGGGGACCTCTTCCACCGGGGACGAGGTCGACGCCTCCGGCCCCAGGGGGGGCGGCCCCTGCGCCGAGGCGCCCAGCAAGGCCTGGCCGGCCAGGCGCTTTTGCCGGATCTGCCCAAGGGAGGCCGACAACGAGGCGGCCGGGGCCCCGGGAGGAGCGTCAAGTTCCGGGTGGGATGCCTGCGGCGGGTCTGGGGGCACTTGCGCCGGCAGGGGCGAGGCCGGCCGGAGGGCCACCTCGGGCTCCGGGTCGGCCGCCCGCTCGGGCTTCGGTCGCGGGCTATGGCGGGCTGGCATGGTCGAGGAGCGCAGGGAGCCCGAGCAGGCCGACGAGGATGGGTCTGACAGGGGGGGCGAGGGTGGGGCCGTGGCCGTGGCCGTGGCCGTGGCCGACCCGGAGGCCTGGTGCGAAGGCCCGTGGGCCGTTGGCATCGATCCAGTCGGACCCCCGGCCGAGGACCGAGACGACTCGGCCGGCGACAGGAGATCCGACACCGAGAGACTATGGCCACTGGCGGCCTCCGGCCCGGATGTCGACACACCGAGCAGCGACCGGCCGAAGGGCGGATCCGAGAGCAGGGGCACGCGCGGCCGGCCCCGGGCGTTTTGGACCGCCCGGCCAGCAGCCTCGTGGATGGAGAAGGAAGAAAGGAGCAGGCTCTCCCCCAGCAGCGGCCCGGGGAAGTCAGCCAGTGCGGTGGCGGTGGTGGCGGTGGTGGCGGTGGTGGCGGTGGTGCTGGCCGAAGGACCGGTGGCGGCCGCAGCAATGGCGGCGGCGGCGGCGGCGGCGGCGGCAGCGGTGGTGCTTGGCGGGCCTGCGATCAAGGGGCCGGCAGGACGCCCGGCCGGGGCCGACACGCTCCGGCCATCCAGGAGTTTTGGCTTGGGCGAATGGCCGGCGTGAGGGGCCCCGGCCCCGGACCGGACGGGCTGACGAAACCTGCAGATGCGCCAGGGCCGGCAAGGAGGGGGGGGGGAGAGGCAGGAGGTGAGAGACGAGCGCGGGGGATGGGGGACGCCAGCGCGTGCGCGGCAAACGAGAATGGCCCACATGCATGGGGTCGACGCACATCATGTTGAGATCTCGGTCATAGCCGGCCAGGCTGCCAAGGCCAATGCGCAAGGTCCGGTCGAAGGCGTCATACACGTCGTCGTGCTCCTGGCGAACGGCCGACCACTGCTGGTGCAGCCAGGCCGATAGGTAGGCGGGGTTCGGGTCCGCGACCGGAGGCGGCATTGAGGGTGGCGGGGGGGACCGCGCGGCAGCCATGCCAGGGCGAGCGTCCGACCGGGGGGCGGCCGACATGGTTGTCCGTTTATGTGTGTGCGTGTGCGTGCGTGTGTGCGCGTGCGTGTGCGCGTGCACCGGTCTTCCTGGCTCTCTCTCTCTCTCTGTGTGTGCGTGCCTTTGGCCGCCTCGATCCTTCCTCTCGACCTGTGTATCTGTGTGAACGCACGCGCCGAGCGACGAGGGAATTCACATGCACCCGAGGTCTCAAGCGGCCCGTGGTCCGAGAGCGGGGGGCAAGCAAGGGCAGGGAGTCACGAAGAGGCGCACAGCAGGCAAGGTGCGAGTGCAAGGGCAAAGGGGACAGGGAGGTGGGACGGAAGGGGGGAAGGGGAATGGCAGGGTGATCGGGCAAAAGAGGCGCGAAGAGGGGGCAAGGGGGGGCGGAGATCGGTGGCGGTGATGCCCACAGGTGCGGGGGTTGGGAGGGACCGCGGTACTAGTTGAAGAGGAAGAAACTGGATTTTCGAACCCGAGATCACGCGCAGCGCCGATTGGTCAGCCTGCCGTGGGAAGCGTGCAGTTCTATGATACCAGAATACATCCCGGGGGCCTGATCGGCGCCGGTCTGGCCCGCCACCCAAAGCCGAGTGAGGTGTACTAATTTCCCCTCGGCGCTGCCAGATTGCGCGGAAAGAAGGGAGGGCCGACGAGAGCCGGGGGGGGGGGGGGGGGACAGGGGGCGGCACGGGGAGGTACTTGGGCGGGCATCCGGATGGCGGAAGGGCTCCGGGGAGGCGACTTAGCCACCTTTCCCCCTTCGCACCTGCTTCCCCCTTGTCCCACCTTTCCTCCACCACCACCACCACCACCACCAGCAACTTCCATCATGGGCGCAAGGGCTTCCAGCGCGACTTCCGGCACGACCTCCAGCCTGAGGGCGGTTGGCGTGCAGACGGACATCCTCCAGGCATTGGACCAGGTCCCCCTGGAGCGGCCCCTGTCGGGGGTCGGCGAGCGCATCATCGCGGGGTTCCTGCTGAGCGCCGCGGCCGATGCGATTGGCTTCCGGAATGGCCATTTCGAGTTTAACCCCTCCAGCGAGCGGATTCTGGCCGAGGTGGCGGCCATGGGCGGGCCGTTGGGCATCTCGCTCGATCCGCGGAGCTGGCTGATCAGCGACGACACGGTCATGCAAATGGCCACCGGGTCGGCCCTGCTGGCGGCCCTGCACCCGGGCCCCTCGGAGTCCGGGCTGCTGACGGACCGGGGCGACTGGCGCGCGGCCCTGGCGTCCATCATGCCGACCATGGCCCAGGCGTATGTCGAGTGCCTGGCGGACACCTCCGACCGGGCCTTCGGCTTGCAGACGATCCACGCGCTGAAGGGCCTGAGCCAGCGCCTGGCCGCCGGCGAGGCCGGGCCCATGGGCTTGGCGGCGGAGCCGAGCCCGCGTGCGGGTGGCTGCGGGGCGGCCATGCGCTCCGCGTGCATTGGCGTCCTCTTCCCCTTTGCGCGGTATCCCCGGACGCTGGTGGCCCTGGCGGTGGAGTCCGGCCGGTTGACGCACAACCACCCGGTTGGCTTCCTGGGGTCGGTGGCGTCGGCGCTCTTCACCTCGCTGGCCTTGGATGATGCGGTGCCGGTGACCGACTGGGCGCTGGTCCTGCTGGAGGAGGCGCTGCCGCTGGCGCGCGAGCACCTGTCGGACTTGCGTTCCGCCGGGGACCTGGCCCCGGAGGAGCATGACTTCCTGGCGGACTTCGCCTACTTCGAGACGCACCTCCGGGAGTATGTGGCCCGGCGGGGGCTGTCCCGCGACCGGCCCGGGGCCGTTACCTTCCCGGAGGACTTTGCCGAGCCGGCCGCGCGCGACCGGCACTTCAAGGCCATCAGCTTCTCGGGCTTCGCCGGCGGGTCGGGCCACGACGCGGTTTTGATTGCCCTCGATGCGTTGCTCTATTCCGGCGGCCAGTGGGCCACCTTCCTGGAGGTGGGATCGCTGCATGGCGGCGACAGCGACTCGACCGGTGCCATCGGGGGCTTCTGGTTCGGGGCCCGGTATGGCGCGGCCCAGGTCCCGGCCGGGCACATTGGGCCCGCGCATCTGGAATACCACGAGCCGCTGACCCGGCTGGCGGCCGGGGTGGCCGCGTGTGTCGAGATCCCGGAGGTATGAGATTCGTGCTGGGCCGTGTCCCGGGCAAGTGCCCGATGTCTGCGGGTATTCGGCGGGGTTTCCCCCCCCTCCGGTATCAGCATGGCTGTCCCGTGTGCAGTCTTGTGCAATGTGTATGAATGTATGTATATATGCATGTGTGTGTGTCTCATACAAGTGGAGGTCTGCATAGGTGCCTCCCTCTCTCCGGCGACCTCTGCGGTCGATTGTCTGTTGCCCCTTTCTGCCGTGCCGTGCCCTGCATGTTCACCTACTACGGGGGGGGGGATTGACAAATGTACTGAAGGTGTATTTCCCGTCCCCTGCACATCTTTCTCTTCGTCTCTCTCTCTCTCTCTCTCTCTCACGGACGGTCCGTGGCGGGGTCATGGGTGCCAGGCAGGGTGCAGCCATGGCGGCATGTGGCGGGGGCAGGAACGGCAAGGACTCACGGGGATGGCGCGTCGGCGATCTGCGCAACCAGTTTGGCCACCTGATCGGCGGTAGGCCGGTGCTCGGGCTCGGTGGCCAGGCACCGCTCGACCACGTCCCGGAGCCGGAGCATGGGCTCCGGCTTGTCGAAGAGCCCCTCCTCTTCGACGTCCAGGAGGGCCAGCCGCTCGCCGGACCGGACCAGCTGCTCGATCTCCTGGTAGTTGAGCGGTCCCCAGGGGAGCTGCGAGCCGGCGGTGCAGGGGGGGGGGGGGGGGGGCGCGGGGGGTGCAGAGGGTCGCGGCGTGAGTGTGCGCGCGGGGAGAGACAGGGCAAGGAGCAGCAGCAAACACGGGGCATGGAGGCACAAATATGGCCGGCCATGGGCAGGCTCGATCGGGAGACATGTGCCAGGTACGCACCTGGCGAGAGATGATCTCATAAAACAGGACCCCCAGGGCGTAAACGTCGCTTTGGAGATCCTGCTCGAAGGGCCACTGGCCGCCTCCGCTCTGGGCAGCCGGGCGGCGGGGCCAAGCCGAGGGGGCACATTGGGAAGGAAACCGATGGCGAGGATGATGCAGTGTACATGTGCGTATGTGAGGAGAATGGCCCGGCGCGCCGGTGGCAATGGAGCGGATGCAGTTGAGAAAGGAAAAGAGGAAGAAGCGGGCGGGCCGGCCGGCCAAGCACCTGGGCGTATGACCGGGAGAAAACCTCCGGTGCGGCATAGCGCGGCGAGAAGCCAGCCACCAGGACCATGTCGGTGGCGCTGGAGGCACTGAGGGCCGGGTTGGCCGGCGACCCCGGGGGCGTGTGGGGGGTGGTGGTTTGGGGGGGGGGGCATGGTGGCCATTTGGGCGCATGCGCCAGGGCGCGCATGCACATGCATGTTTATGCATGTCTGGGTGTTAGGGGCGGTGGGCTGGGCAGGGAGGGCAATGTGGGCGCGAATGCGTGCGCAACCGGCCGGCGGCCGGCGAGGCGGATGCCCGCCACCCGGCCACCCGGCCACACAGGGTCACGGCCGGGACGTACGTGGTCCGAGCCAGGCCGAAGTCGCAGAAGGCCGGCTCTAGGTAGGCGGCCGCGGGGGGCGCCTGGCCGGGCCGAGGCACCGGCTGCCGGAGGAGCACATTGGCGCTCTTGATGTCGCGGTGGGCGATGCCAAGGAAGTGCATGCCGGCCACGGCGCCGGCCAGGCACCGGGCGTGGTGCAAAATCTCGCCCACCGGCAGCCGCGGGATGATGGGGGCCGGAGGGGCCGGGCCGTCGGGCCCGGCGGCGCGGATGGCCTCGGCCGCGGCCAAATGCGCCGGCGACCGGTGCAGGTACCGGTACATGTCGGTGTCGTACAGGTGGGTGACGATCATCGGCGGATCGGTGGTATACCCGACCAGGGGGACGATGTTGCTGTTGAAGGACAGCGACCACATGATGGCGATTTCCTGGCGGAAGCGCTGGGTCAGGTACTTCTCCTGGCGCCGGCGCTGCTGGGAGAAGGCCCACCACCGGGACCCGGGGGCGGCCGGGGGGAGGGCGGCCCCGGGCCCGGCGGCCAACGGCCCGCCCCCGCCGGCGGTCCCCTGCGGCGCCATGCGCTTGGCGGCCACCAGCTCGGACCCCACCCGGCGGACGATCTCCGGGTCCAGGAGCCGAGCCCGGAGGACCATCCCGGTGGCGCCCTTGCCCACTCGGTCCAGGAGCTCCAGCTGCCGGGCCTCCCCGGTGGCCACCATCTCCAGGAACCCGGGCACCGAGATGGTTTCGAAGGTGTTGAGCACGGTGTCCAGCTGGCCGGGCCCGAGGGCCCCGGTGCCAAGGGCCCCCTCGGCATCGGCCGCAAGCCAGGACACATCGGGCATCTTTTCCCCGGGCAAGGCCCCCTGACGCAGGCAGGCCTGGTATTGGGCCGCACCGTCGGCCAGGGCGGTGGCGGTGGCGGCGGCGGCGGCGGCGGCGGCGACATGGCGTGCGCGCCGCCGGCGCCCGGCCGCCGACACGGCCAGCCCGGCCGCCGCGGCCACCATGGCCAGGCCCCCGGCCAGGGCCACCAGGACCGGCAGCAGGGCGCCCCCGCTCCGCCCGGGCACTTGGCCCACCGTGAAGTCAAACAGCAGCCCGGTGCGCTCCCAGGTGTCGGCCACCAGGAGCGACCCGGAGAACACCTGTGCCCGGAAGGCCCCGCCTCGGTAGAGGGTGGCGTTGAGGCTCAGCCGGGGCTCCTCCCGGATGAATGTCTCCCCGACGGCCGGGCCTGGGGGGGTGTCCTCGCGAGCCGCGGCCAGGCCGGCGGCCGGGCCCCCTTCCGGCAGGGGCTCCAGTACCACCAGGTACTGGTCCGCATCGGGCGACGGGTCCCACCGGAGGAGGAGCACCTCATCGGCGGCCAGCTCCACCGTGTACCGGGGCCCCGGCGGCCGGGGGAGTGTCCGGCGCTGGAGAAGCAGCCCCTCCTCCAGCCGGGGGATCGGCATGCGGGGCGTGGCCTCGGTCGGGCTGGCCGAGCCGCTGGCAGCCGAGCCGTGGCCATGGGTCGAGTCGCTGGCCGAAGTGCCGGCCGGGCCGCCGCCGGGGGCCTCGTCGCCGGGGGCCGCCGGCAGCCGGCGGGCCAGCGCCCGGCCGGGCCGATCGCCCGACGGCCCCACCTGGGCATCCGGATCGTTGTAGCTCAGCACCAGCTGGTAGAGATCCTCCTGCAGGGCCGGCAGCCCGGTGACATTGTACCGGCCCACCTCCGGCAGGGCCCCCGGGCCGGAGTGCAGCACGGCCACCGTGGCAAAGGTCAAGGTCCCGGGGATGTGGCGCCGGACTTCGAGACCCGGGGCCAGGGGGGCCAACCGGGCGGCCGCCCCCTCCGGCAAGCGCCACCGGGCCTGCAGCGTGTCATGGGCCAACGGCTCCAGCTGGAAGGTGGCCATGTGCGGGGTGCTGGTCCGGGCCAAGTCCAACTGGCACAGGGCCAGCAGGGCCGCCTCATTCAGCAGGTCCTCCTCCGCCGGCTCCGGGCTGGCGGAGGGGGCTTCCCAACGCCAGGCATGCGCCGGGCCGTCGCCCAGCCCCGCGACCGGCCGCGGGGCGGCCCACGTCTTGTCCGCCCGGCAGTCCAGCCGGAAGTCCCCGGTGAAGCCAACCGGACACCGCAGGGCCAGGCTCTCCAGGGTGGGGGTTTCCAAAAAGCGCAGCCCCAGCACCTCGACCTCGGGGCACTGGCGCCGCACGCACCCGGGCCCGGGCAGCTCCTGCCATTGGTCCTCCTCCGAGCACTCCAGCAGCAGGTCGCCCTCGTGCAGGGGGCCGCAATCGGCCCGCACCGTGTCCCCGGCCACGGCCTGCTCCCAGCAAATGTGCTCCCGACACTGTGCCGGGCAGATGATGTCTGCGCGATGGGGCGGGGGGGGG